GTCAGTTACACGGAAAGTAAGAGAGAAACTAAGAGGAGGGGAGATGACAGCAAGCTCCCTCTTCCCTCCTCCTAAGCAGCCCCGGAACAGGCTGTTGGTCACACAGCCTCGGACCCCAGTCCCATCACTTCCCACCAGGGTGGGGCTGGAGGCTGGGCCTAACCAGAGTGGCTCTGAGAGGTCTTAGGAGCAATGAGGTGGGAGTCAGCTGCCATCCCATGGGCCCTGGGAAAGCTGAGTGGTGGGACCTCATTCAGCCACCAGACAGTAACAAGGTCCAATCTTCCCAGCAGGAGGGTACAGGTAAGGGAGATGGCAGAGACTGCACCTCTGATACCATCTCCCCACAACTCCTATCCTATCTGGATAACAGTACCCTAGCTCAGTGCCAGTCCCTGGACCCCTGGGGTCCACTCCATTCCCTCCTTTGAGGCCGCTGGTCGGTCCGTCTTGCTCTCCCGGAAAGCCTCAGTCCCCCAAAGTGCTCCGTGAAAAAGCTGAGCGGGAACAAGGCTGAATTTAATTTGCTTTGAGTTTGCTAATTGAGGGGGAGGACGGTTCATTTCTCCCCGGCGCTGGCCCAAGGCGCGCGTCGGTGCGCTCGGGGCTTGACACGCACACAAAGACTCCAGGCAGCGTGGGCAGCGAGGCGGACAAAGACCACCGCCGCCTCGGCTGTCCAGGAGAAATCAGCCGGGCCGCGCCTTGTGCCGGGCTCCGCACAAACCCGCCAGGCCCTCCTCGGTTTTGGGGTGGGGAACATGTTTTAAAACAAAAGGCTCGACCTTTCTGCGCTACCCAGGAAAAGTGTTACAAGTTAATCTGCCCAAAAACGTTACTGTTTGCTGGGAACTTTGACCCCACCCTGCGGCTCCGTGTACAGTAGCGCCTACTGTAGTCCTAAACCCCCTCCCCACCCTGGGATAAGCCCAAGCCAGGCCCGCCCAGGGACCCTGCTGTGCAGAAGGCCTGTGCCCTGAGGCAGACCCTCTCTCTGCAGCCTCCCAGCTTTATTTCTCTGATGTAGAGTACACACAGGACGCTTGCCCTCCACCTTCTGATCGCCCATCTCCTTCAGCGAAGTCACTGGAGCCGACGGTGTGAGCCATGGGCTGGTAGTCGCTCAGAACTCATCTTTAACCCACATCCTGTCCTTGCCAGTCTCCAGCCCCAAACACCCAGAAACCCCACTGTGCTCTCCCTCTTCCTGGACCCCAGCAGGGTCCTCACACTCTCACCAAAAGTCTCACCAGAAATGCAGGGATGTCTTAGCCAGGACATGCCCAACTGGACAGAGAAACAACTCGGCGCGTTTCCCCAGAACCTGGGGCAGGTTGGCACTTACAGCCCCTTTCTGGAACCCAACAAAGCCAAGCACCTTGAGACATACATCCCGAGCCCAGGCGTGGAACCAGCTACCAGGACCTGTGCGGAAGGCCCTCACAGAGCTCCGTGCTCATGGGTGTGCTTGAGAGCCAGATTTGGGGTGGGGGCGCACGCCCAGATGGGTCCCTCGCGCCCGGGCCGCACTCACCTGAGTTTCCGTGAGGCTGAGGCTGTGTGCCAACTGCTTCCTTTCGGCGCCCACCACGTAGTGATTCTTCTCAAAGGCGTGTTCCAGCCTTAGAAGCTGGGACGGGGAGAAGGCGGTTCGGATCCGCTTGGGCTTTCGGGCCAGCGCGTTGTGCAAAAGGAAACTCTCGGGGCTAGTGTCGTTCCCTGCGGGGAGCACAGCAGAAATCCCATTAGGGGGGCTGCTCTGACCAGAGCCGCGCACTTCTCCCGAGCCGGGCTGGCCAGTCACCGCGCTCAGGGCCTTCGCATAGCTGGCGCCGCTCGACCTGCGGGGGTCGGTGGTCCTCCCAAGGGCTCACGAAGGGAACGCCGGCTCAGCTGCCCGGCCCGCAACGCTGGGTGTCCACCTGTGCGGCACCCAACCAGCCGCTGCCCCGGCGGGACCAGTCCCCCAGGCTCCTGACCTCGGCCGGCTCCGCAGCCGCCCTGGCGCCGCGGGCCTCGCCACCTCCTCGCCGGGCGCTGTGGGCAGGGGAGGGAGCTGCAGAGCCTGGCCGGGGGATTGGCGCCCACAGCCCGAAGAAACGACCTTCTCTTCTTTCTAACCTCTCGGGGAACTTTGACCCAGGGTGGAAAGGCGGCGGGCTGCTCTCCAGAGTTTTCTTGGAGATTTATTTTTAAATTATTTGTTTTGTTGCCCCTCCGGAAAAGTACAGAGGCGGAGCGAGTCGTTGCAGCCCGATCGGGACAGAAATCTCGCCTGCGGGTGTGCCCGGATACAGCCGCTGCTGCCTCTCGAGAACTGGGCTCCGGGGCTCCCGGCTCCGGAGAACTAGAAGAGAAACGCGAGCGAAGAGATCGAAACCCGGGGGGGTGGGGTTACCGAGTTGCAGACACCGCCGGGACAGTCTGAAACGCAGGAAGATCCCAGCGGCTCCGGGTCTGGTGGGGGGACCATGAGCATGACTGATAGAGAATGAGGAAGGGCAACCCTAAACTTTTCGAGCAAAGCCTCAGAGTTTGGGGTTCACTCATTAGGATAGGAAATCGATTCACCGAAAACCCAAACAAAGAAAAACAAACCGACAGCCCAGGCAGGATGCAGGCAAATCTAGTTCGGGATTAAGGGTAAAAGGTTTTCCTTTTTTTTCTTCCTTTGGTTTGATTTTTTTAAATATGGGGAGGGGGGTGACATCTACCCGACTCTAGGCTCTGGCAGGAACGCAATGGGTTAATGAGTGGACAAGCCGCGGAGTATTGGAGTATTGATCGGCTGCCGCCGGAGGTAGATCTTTCACCGACTCCGATCGGTAAACTATCCCTTTTTCTGAAGTTTTAACTCTCCTCCTCCCACCCCGTTCCCAGAGAAAAACAAGTCAAAAATCTCAATAAATGAAAACACGCGAACAGATATTTCCCTCTAAGACAGTTTCTGACCAGGTTCTTTTTTTTCTTTTTTTTTTTTTTAAAGAAAGAAAAACAAAAACCAGACCGAACCTGCCTTCCCGCTGCGGCTGCTCGGCGCCCCAATTAAGCAGGTCGCGGCGAGAGCGCCGAGCCCTGGCGCTTTCCTCCCGCACGGGTTCCCGCCCCTCCCCAGGCCTCCGAAAAGCAGGAAAGAAAAAACAAATCCCATATTTTTCGCCGGGGGCGCGAGGGTCCTCTCGCCTCCAGAAGAGGGTGGAAGACCAAGAAGTGGTGGGTCTGGACTGAAGGGGCGCAAAGTGGGTGGTGAACAGGGTCGAACGCAGTCGAAAGCAAGCCTGGCGGCCGAGTCCTGTCCGCGCCCCTCGGAGCCAGGACGGTTGGGGGCATTGCCGAGGGTACCAGGAGCCTGGAGACCCCGCAGGCTCTGGGCTCCGCGGCGCCGGGCACGCACAGCCTGCTCGGATACGAGCGCACTGGGGGACAACTTCTCCGTTCGCACCCCTTCCCAAAGGGTCAAGCAGCCCGCAGGCTATCACTTCAAACTGGTCGTAGCTTAGGAGACTGGGGATCCACACCACCACCGGCCCCGCGCCGCCTAGTTTCCCAACAGGGCGCGCTGGCCCGCGAGCCGGAGAAACCTCCGCCCAGGCCTTGCCAAGCGCCCACCCGGAGCAGGCCGGGGGCAGTAAAGGATGCGGCGGGAACGGCGCTCTGCAGTTCCGCGACGTGGCACGTACCTTGGAAGCGATGACCCAGATATCGGTAGCGGTGGATGAGCCAGGGGTAGAAGGTGGACGGATCCCGCTGCTGCGAGGCGAAGAGGGGGTGTGGCGAGTGCGAGGAGGGTAGGGGGTGGGCGGCCAGGGCGTGCGGCGGCGGCACCGGGTGCACTGGCACGGCGGGGTTGGGCGGGTGCGAGACCGCCTCGGCGAACACCAAGTCCGGGTTGGAGTAGACGCCCCTACCGGCGGCGGCGGCTGCGGCCGAGTGGAAGCCGTTGAGGAACGGATTTATGGGGCTGGAGTTAGCGTAGCTGAGTGCCGCGGGACGGATGGGGTCCTCGGAGCGCGAGGCGGGCAGGGGACTGTCCTTGGCCACCAGCGACTCGATGGTGAAGCAGCGCTTGGGCGCCGGCTGGAACATGCTGCGCCGAGGAGCGGGCGCCCTGGGCTCCCAGCTCCCGGCGACCGCCGCACGCTGCCTCCGCCGCCCGCTGCCCGCGGCGAGGACGGACTAGAATTGGGGACTCGTTTGTTTGGGGTGGGGGTGGGGGGAGGAAGGGAAGAAAGAAAGGAAAGGAAAGGAAAAAGGAAAGGAGGGGGGAGGGAGAGGGAGAGGCAAAGCCGAGGATCCCGAGAATCTTGCACCAAACGCGCCCAACCTGAAGAGAAGGGGGAAAATCCTTCCAGAAAAATTTGCAGGCGTGGATTGGGGTAATTTTTTTTTCTTTTTTTTTTTCTTTCTTTTTTTTTTTTTTTTTTTTTTTTGGCGAGATGGTGTGGCGGGGTCGGAGTTAGAGGCAGGGGGGAGAAGGGGGGAAAGTTCTCGGGGGAGGAAAAAAAAAAAGTTTTTTCTCCTCTGCAAAAGGCGGGCAGGGCGCCCTAAGTCCAAGGACAATCCATGGAAGTGTTCGCTTCTTCACAAGTTGTGCAAACGATTTGTTAGTTCATGAGCCTAATTAGTGCGGGGATCACATAAACAGCTTCCTCCGAAGCCTGGTAAATGGCTTGATGATTGGTCGCTATTACTCGCCCTGAGGTGGAAGGGGGGAGACTCTTTAAAGTGCGTCAGAGGGAGGTGAGCGCCTGGGAACCCGGAGGCCTGGATCCCGGCCGAGTGGAACGGAGTCGGCGCCGCCGCCTCGGCCGAGCCTGCCGCCGCCCGCCGGGCCGCCGGACTTCCCCGCGCCTTCGCCCCTCGCTCCCAGCTCACTCGCTCCTGCGGCGCCCGCTGCGGCTTCTCCTCCTCCTTCGCCTCCTCCTCTTCCTCCGGTTTCTTCTTCTCCTCCTCCTCTTCTTCCTCCTCCTCCTCTTCTTCCTCCTCCTCTTTCCCCACCTACTCCCCCTCAGCCACCGCCTCCTCCTCCACCAGCACCACTCCCTCCGGGGCACCCCGGTCCCTGCAGAGTCCCTGGCCGGCGCCGCCTCCGCTGCGGCCCCCTGAATCCGGAGCCTGCTGAGCCCAAGCTGGTGGGACAGACGGACAAACAGATTCCTTTCGCCTAGCGCTCCGCCGCTGCTGCCTTACGCGGCCCTGCGTCGGGGGAACTGGGATCGTCCCAGGAGCACCGCGAGGGTAAGCGGGCGGGGGCTGGTTCCTGGGCTAAAGGCGCTGTTCGGTTATACCAATCCCCACCCTTAGCAAAACTCCCAGCGATTTCCTAGGCCAGGAGGGATCCTGGAGTGGGGGGTGCGGGGTCCTCCCATCCCACCAACCACGCTTAGCCTCGAGGTCCCAGGGTCGGTGCGTTCGCGAGTCTTGACCCGGCTCGTTCGTTTGCGAGTTGAGACCGGGAGCTGCAGACCCCGCTGAAGCAGTGGGCTTCCAACTCGCTCCCGCTCTCGCCCCACGGTCTCCAGCGTTTTCTGTCTGGGAGGGTGCTCACCTCCTTCCCCAAAACAATTCCTTCTGGAATATCTGGGAGCGGTAGTCCGAGGTCAGGGGAGAGCCTGATGTGGTACTACCGTACTATCATGGTTCTGACGTAATTATTTTTGTTACTGTGGTCAATGTTATTATTATTATGGATGCTATTATTTTATTATTATTATTTCTATTATTATTATGCCATCTGTTGTCCCGGGGAGGGGGGGTTGCTGTGCAAACCCAGTGCAACTAGGGATTATGGATCGTTTCTCCGGTCCCAGGCCCTGTCCGCATTTTCGAGCTCGCCTTCGGTTTTGGGATGATTTTAGGACCGAGTTCCCTCGTCCCCATTGGCTCGCGCGGCGGCATAATTATGATCACATCCCCAGGCTGCTGGCGCTGCTCTCTGTTTATTGGTGGTTAAAGATCTATTATCTATTCATCAGCCGCCTCTTTTTTCCTTTTTTTCTTTTTACCATTACATTCTTCTAAAGTGAAGTACCAGCAGGTATTTTGCACGTTTACAATTAATGATAATAAAAAAAAAAAGTCTAGCGTCCTTTAAAACTATTACTCCCAGGCCCCTGTCATTTCTCCTAAGAATGCAGAAATGCCTGTGTTTGGTGACTAGGTTGCCGTGAGACCTGGGAGAAGCCGATGGAAATGCGGGGAGAAGCCGATGGGAATGGGGGGAGAAGAGTGAAGTCCACAGTGAGCCAGGCTGCACTGCCACCAGAAGCATAGTTGAGGGGACAGGTTTCAGGACAAGTTACCTGCTTCCTCCCTTGGTTTCATCTACTGTATATTTATGTTTGTGTCAATTACTCCTTTATTCCAGATAAAATGTTGTGTTGGGGCAGGTGTCCAAAAACCTCTTTTGGGAAACCAGGCAAGAGAGGAGTTGGGAGCAGTATTTTCCGGGGTCGTCAGGGCACCAGAGAGATTCGTGGGGAACTGGCAGAGATCATCTTTGTTGCCCCCACTCCACACCTTCCCAGGGAACATACATACACATCTTCACACGAGACAGGTGTGCGCCTCAGCTTTGCCCTTACAGTGGGAGACA